TTTCCAATGATTATTTTAGTATTCACTCATATATTATTGTTATTGATAGCATTATTTTATAGTTTCCATAAATTATTTAAAATTTAAAATTATTTGATGCCAATCATAATTTTGCATCCAATTTCTACATTCTTTCATTGAATATCATGAAAAATTCAAATTGTTCGATTTACAATTTATTATCAGTTTATCATCCAACATTAAATAATCTGAGATTCTTCTTCCTTCTTTTTTTTTTCAAACGGTTCTTTTTTTTTTAACAAAATTTAAAACATTTTACAAATGACTAAGTATATGAATGTTGCTGAAAAAGATCGACCTGTCCTTCAAATTTTGTGAAAAAGAAAAACAAAACAATAACATCAATTAGCTGATATTATTTCATATCATTATTAATTGTGCCGTAAAATTGTAAATTAATTAAGCAAAATTTTAAAACTTCCCACGTTAATGAAGGAATTAATGATTTACTAAAAATTACAAAAATTTAAATTTAAGCAGGGCAAAAAATTTCATCTATTGTCATTGTAAAATGCCACTTATTACATCATCATTAAATATCAAACAATAAAGTTTTGTAGAAAAAAAAAAATGATGTTTGTTAAATTATTAACTGGAAATAAAAAAGGAGAAAAGAAAAAAAAAGAAATGAAATTTTTTTTTCTGTCAAAAAATTTGTCAAAATCTTTTTTTTTTTCCTTTCATTTCTTTTACGTTGTACAATGTTGGACAAAAAATTGTTAATTTTGCAAAAATAGCGAATTATAATATTTGTCACATTATTTGAACAACGAAAAGAAAGAGAAGGAAAAAGAAATGAAAAAAAATTTTACAAAAAAATTCATTGGTTTTTTTCCTTATTTCACTACAATGATTTTCAAAAGTATTTCATATTTCACAAGTACTTTGCCAAAAACTTTTTTTTTTTTTTGCTTTATTTTGTTTTATTTTTTTTTCAGCATATTTAACGATAATTATTGGTTTTTTGAATGAAAAGAGGGAAATTGTCATTTCATAATTTCGTCATTGTATTAAATGTACTTTAAAATGTCAAATATCCATTGTTATTTATTTTGAAATTTAAAGAATTTTAACTAATTTTTTTTCCCCCTTTTTTTTTTCTTATTTCCATAAATAAGCATTTTTGAAGTACTCTTAAATGGATGCTTATGCTAATGATGAAGTATGCATGGTTATTATTTAAGAGAATAAAAGAAATTTAAACTTTAAAGTTTTTTTTTTTACTTGTGAGGAACACTATTTCATTTTTTTTTTTTAAATTTCACGAAAGACTTAAATTAATTTTTTTTTTCTAATATTTTACTTCAATATTTTTTTTTTCTAATATTTTACTTCAACTAATCATTATTTATCAGATTACTAAGATATTAGTAGTTGGTGTTAATTGTCATCC